TCACAGAACATTACCGTATGAGTTACTTTCTGTTGTTTTACTGTATTTTTTGGTCTCCTGCTGCCAGAATATTACTGACTCGTATGGTTAATCTTTACACCCCTAATCATAATCACACCCACTCTCTGTGGGATATAAAGTTAATCAAAACAGCAACAACACGTCTTAAAACTGTCCATAAAGTTGTTACAGAGCGAGCGATTGTGATAAATCACTGCTGCCTGATGTTGTGATGGATCCCGTTCCTGAGCAGTAACCCGTGAGATGATGACTCAGGTGGATCTGCAGTCGTATCTTTCTTCTCTCTCTGTGATCTCTGCAATAAAGAGCAGCTGCTCGAGTGTCGGCCATTATACTCATCAGCAAGAGGGCAACCGCGCAGCTTTCATCACCACAAGCTGAGAGAGAGAGAGACAGAAAAATAACTGCCAGCAGCCTCTGAGGAGAACCGACCTCCAGGATCAGATCAGGATTTTATGTCCCCAACATCGGGCCAGAAACGAGCTCTGAAGACGTCTCGGTGGGATTTGGATACGTGATGTCGTGAAGCTGTGCCTGGGGTTTGGGGCTTCAAACCAGTGGGTGACGGCCCAGCTAGCATGTCCTTCACTTGTAAACACGTTTAATTTTACAGCACTTAAATTACTTAGTAGTTCTGAGAGTCCAAAACAACGTCTACAAATGTTTTGTTGTGTCCAAAAAACAAAGATTTTACATTTTCAGCGACATGAAAAAGAGAAAAGCAGCAAATACTCTCTCAATAAAACCTGGAACCAGTTATTTTACCTGTTTTATTGAAGGTTTTGGCATTGTGGGCCTGAAAGGAAGGAAACATCTGGTTTTCATGTGTCATATTTTAGTCTTTTTATTAATCTCAGTCGTTCTGCTGTGAGTCAGAAAATCAACAGCGGTTGAAATATATCTCTAAAAATGCTGTTTATTATGTGTGTGTGTGTGTGTGTGTGTGTGGTGTGTTAGTGTGTGTACAAACAGCTGGTTTTCACACACAGCATCGGCATCCAGGATATTTATCGCCGTGGAAACGGATGATCCACCAGCCTCATTAGCATTCAGACGGTCGCACCAGGAGAACAGACCTCACCTGAGAGCAGGGCCGGAGCACACAGCCGCTAACTGGTGTCAGGACCGTATTGTAGCTGCTGGATAATCCGCAGGCGGAGGAACGACGGGCGGAAATGTTCAACCGGTGCAGTACAGCCGGTTGTGGCGGTGGGATTTCAGTCCAGTCAGATTTAAAAATGTTGGAGGCTGAGAGGAGGCTGCGGAGGAAAGATAAGCAGCGATGACTTCCATTTATCAAGGACGGTCAGAGCACTGGTTGCACGAAAGCGTGGACAAAAGCTTTTAATTCATCACACACACTTTAGGCATCGATGCTAACATTGTTAATCACAGAAACATACACGATATACAATATATAACTCAACTAATCTGACGCATTTCTATAGATTAAACTAATCCCTTAAACATCTACAGTAGTCTGTTACTTGTAGTGGGGTATTGGTATCAGTGTTTAAAGGTTCAGGAAGCTTTTTATTTTTATGTATTAATAACTTTTTATGAGTCAGAGAGTGAACGGGTTGTAGTGGAGCTTTGTCCCTCTGCTGCCTGTGGACTGATCTCTATGTGTCTCCAACACAGAGTCCACAACACAGAGTCCAACACAGAGTCCACAACACAGAGTCCAACACAGAGTCCACAACACAGAGTCCAACACAGAGTCCAACACAGAGTCCACAACACAGAGTCCAACACAGACTCCACAACACAGAGTCCAACACAGAGTCCAACACAGAGTCCACAACACAGAGTCCAACACAGAGTCCAACACAGAGTCCACAACACAGAGTCCAACACAGAGTCTATAGTCAAAGCTAACATTACTGCAAAGCTAGTGGGACATATTATCTGATTGTGCTTCTAGCTGGATAACGTTCGCTTGATTGCCAAGGAAGTGGAACGTTAGTTACGTATTGTAACTCCAGATTCTATGAGTGTAGGCGCAGCCCTCTAAGAGCTATCGCTATTGGGTTTATCCCTCACGCACCTGCGCAGTACTGAGAAAAAAAATAGTCCACGCCCACCCACGGGGGGAGGGGGCACCTACACGGTATATAAATATACGTGTTAACATACAATCAGCTCCCATTTTCTTTCTTTTCTTTCAGCCACCAAGCTGCAACTACTTTGAGAATCATCTTACAAGTGAAGAAAACTACAAACCATGTCGGCGGAGATGGCAACCTCCTCGGCGGGCGACAGGCCGTGTCCCTCCAGCCCGGACGGCCGCGTCTCCCGATCCGACCTCCACACCCGCTGTGAGATCTGCCTGGGAGCTCAGCATGCCGGCTTGGCCTTGATCTCAAGATCCTCCAGCCATTACTGCGCGCTCCTTCCTCTTGAAGAAAAGCAACGACGGGTTGACGGAAGGGGATGACGTCTGGCCTCTGCGAGAGACCTCCTCCGTGGACGAGGCTCTGGAGATCCTGGTCCCGCCTGACGTCTCGGACTCGGACGAGTCTGAGTTCTCCCATGCTGGGTTCCCTGTCCCTCCCCTCTCCCAGGCGGGAGAGCTGGAGCACGCCGAGAGTGGATGTGTCATCCCGGGGGAGTCCGGGATCCCTCCCGCTCTGGCCACCGTCCTGCCATCGATCGACGGACTGGTGAAGGAGCTACCAGACATCATAAAAGATGCACCAGCTCGCTGGGGCCTGCCGGTCCTGCTGGTGGATGAGATGTGCGGCGTTTTTCCCCTCGCTCAGCTGAGCAGGCGAGACGCTGTGTGGCCCCGCTTCCCGCCCATCCAGAAGTACCGGGAGGGCGCAGTGGCAGACCCGAAGAGTCTGAAGGCGCCTATCTCAACGTATGTGCCCATCACCAAGGTTGCTTCATTGCCAAGGAAGGGGAACTACTAACTAGCTAATGTAGAAAAGTACTGTCAGCTAGCTTCATCCAGACTCTGGGGTTGCTCACGAACGTTATCGCTTGCACAATCCTAATAAATAGAGAAACAAATACAATCAGATGACTGATCGCACTTTATCCGGCTCATTTTATTCCCAAAAGCTTCTCCTTGTTGTGGTTGTCGGCGAAAACACAATTAATTTGCAGAGTTGCCAAAATATTGAGCCGTTTCTTTAAACATAATAAAGAAAATCTGGTGTGTGTGTGTGTGTGTGTGTGTGTGTGTGTGTGTGTGCTGAAAATAGAAAAGCCACTTAAAAACAACAGATTTCATGATGCATGGAGGAGATTCCCACAGAGGAAGAGGAAGAGGTAACATAAAACACGAGCAACGACAGAATCAATCAGCCCGGCAGACAGCTAATGTCGGCACAGACATTTAACCAAAACCTCCGTCTACATCCACCGTCACACAGGAACCAACCACAATGAATGAATGTCACCACACACACACACACACACACACACTCTCTGATCCATCATGGCCGCCCCTGCAGGGCCCCGAGGCTGCGAAGAAAAAACCCACTACAGTTGTTTTTATCAAGATAATGGCCGTCGCACATTTAAAGGTGTCGCTGTGATTTATGGAAAACATTCTCCCATCAGGCCTCTGGATTACCATCGCTCTCCCTCCCAGAGAAGAACGACCATATGCACAATACAGATAACAGGAAATACATAGTTCTGTTGTTCTCTCTGCCTTTTTTAAACAGGTATTTCCTTTCTGTGCAGTCGGCTTTATATATATATGGTAGTATCTAGATAACCTTTATGATTTATTATGGAGCTCCTGTAAGCGCCTTTCTTATTAGTTTTATTATTTTACCACAGTATTTATTTCTCCTCGCAGTATGAATGTGTTGGATGGAATAAAGTGCGGTGGAAAGTACATTTACTCAGGTTGTTAGCCCCGTTCAGTTGCACACTAACGGCAGCTACGTTAGCAGTTAGGCTAAAAGTTTAAGATTGATTGAATGTCAGGATATTATTGGTTGAAATCTGTTAGTTCATGCTGACGTAAGCACGCGATGGTTGACGTTGTTAAATATGGGAACACTATAACTGAGGGTGTGATCTTAAAGGGTTAAAATGAGTAAAGTGTGACTCTGTCCATTAACTGCTTCTATATAACATATAATAGATATAAACATTGACACAAACAATTAAAGCTGAGCTGACTGCTTTAATAAGAAATATGTCGGCCAACACTCGTGTGTCCTGGATATTTGTGTTTGAAGAACACACATTGCCGGCTGGTGTCTCCCACACTGACACCCTTCCTCACCCCGAGAGGAAACTCATCCGTCAGTCACAAACATCCTCACCCTCCTGTTTCTCTCCCACATTGTTTGGTTGACGGCTCTCAGCGCGCTGTCGTGTCTTTGTTTGTGGAACTTCACTTCTCAGTTTATTCAGATTTACACAATCGTGCCCAGACCTGCAGACTCATCACGCTGCGAACACGACGCCACCGAGATAAAGAAAATATGTAGGTTGGCTGCCAAAAATGCTGGTGATGGTGACAGTGTAGAATAAACAAATATGACCTTATATTACATCTCCACCTTTATGTTTCCCAGCAACAAGAGAGCGCTTTGTCTTTGGAAGTTCAGGTGAAATGAAAAATGTCTTTTTAACCCTTTAAAATTCTCCCTCGACTCCGCTACCTGCTAATGTAGCTACCGTCAGCGTTCGCAACCTCCCAGTGAACACAACCTCCGAGACAGAGGACAGTTTCCAGATGGACTTAGCAAAGTAGATAACTGATGATGACAGTGATGATAGCTGCTCTCAGCTAATTAGCTCATGCAGCTAAAGTTTTTGTTTAACTTTGATCATTTAACCCTCTGTGGTACCGTGTTGCCCTCAGGCAACATACCCATGTTTGGCCTGTCAAATGATGAATGATGCAATACTTTAAATAAGAGGGAAGACCATAGGGAACCAATAACAATGCTTTAATTTGTCACATGACTTTCAGGAGGCCATATAAAAACCCTTTTTCTGCAGATTTTTCCAAAAGAAACAGCTTCACCATTTTGCGCCACAAAAAAAAAAAAAAAACAGCGTAATTTCCTCGCCCTTTTCCATCTGGAAAAAAATATATTCCTACTAATAGGTGAGTAAACCTTCATTCTTATAGTTTCATGCAATTTATTTTCTAATTAAATAATGGAAACGTTCAATTGCAACTGTTGCCCTGAGGCAACAACGTGCCATTATGGAATCAGTATGGCAGCATGAGATATTGGTAGTGTGTGTTTAGGTATACATAATGTTCAAAAGCATACCATTCATCATAATTTAGTTTTGATCTTTACAATTTAACAAAGATATATTTGATGTTGGTTGCAGTAAAGTAGAGTTCAGGCTATTACTATACTCTGTAGGCCATAGTCTACTATTATAGTGAACTTTGTCTTATTTGCTTATAATTTCCACACATTTTCCTCCATTTTCAGAATGAATTCAGCCTCATTCTATGCCCCTTTAAGGAAGAAGAGGGTAGAAATAACTCTTCCAGTTGAACATAGTGAGGACGAGTTACAGTTAAGTAGTGATGATGACGAGCTGCAAGAATACTTGCCAGGAGAAAGTGAGACTGATGAGGAGGATGAGGAGGATCAGAGTGAGAATCAGGATGAGGATGGGAGTGAAGGTGAAAGTACAGAGACAGGTATTTATAGTACAATATATTAAAAAATTATAAAATTTGAATTATTCTTTATATTTTTATTGAATGCTTAGCAAGTGTGCTTGTTTTTCATTTCCTCTTCCAGAAGCAATAGAAAAGGCCAAGAATCTGGGATGGAAAAAATGCAGGCACATCCTTCCAGTCCAACAATGGAAAGGCAGCCTCCCCAAAGCCACAAAAGTGAAGACTCCAATTGAATACTTTAGGGATGATCTACTAACCCACGACTGCATTGAAAACATGGTCAAGCAAACAAATCTAAATCCCAAATCGGCTCGCAGGGTGCAGCTTCTCCACGGACAAGGACATGAAGAAGAAGGGCCGGGGAACCTTTGAAGAGAAAGCTGCAAACCATGATGGAGTCCAGCTCACAACAATAGTCGTGCTGTCCACCTCCTGTCCACATTTGCCTCAGCCCACCCAACAACTTCTGTCCAAAGATGGGATAGGGGCATGGGATTATATAGCACTTTGAATTGCCTCCGGGTCTGAAATGTGCTGTAAACTTGCCTTGCCAGGTTACCTGCCCAGCTATTGCCAAGACATATAACAAAAGCAAGGGAAGTGGTACCACAGGATCGTGTCCCACATGCTGGATTTCACTGTAGTCAATGCGTGGCTCTTGTAACGCAGGGATTGCATGGACTGCGGCCAGAGGAAAAGTCAGTACAGCTTGCCGAAATTCAAAGCTGAAGTTGCAGCTTGCCTTTGCAATGAAAGGAAGGTTCTGAGGAAAAGGGGAAGACCATCAACCAATGGAGACCTGGCTGAGAAGAGGCACAGAGGCCCTACTTCAACAGTGCCATCACCACCTGTGCGTCAGGACAACACTGACCACTGGCCTATTTGGGTGGAGAAAAAGGGGCAGGTGCAAATACCCTGGATGCAAGGGTATTGAAAGTCCAGTGCACAAAATGTGTCACATACCTGTGCTTCACTCCCGAAAATAACTGCTTCATGGAGTTCGATAAGCACTGAGCAGCAGTGGACAGCACAGATGGATGTGAGGAAAGACACGGGACTGACAGGACTGTTTTGCAATCTTTGTTTTGATAAATAGTTTGTTTCAAGTTCGAAGATTTACACTTAAGACTGTTCAAGACGTTCATTTCAATGGGTTGATGGTGCAATGGTACTAACTGGCATCATAATGCGTACCATAGAGGGTTAAACAGGTTTTTTTCCAGTGAAAACGTCAAAATAAGTTAAATTCTGTCACACAAACTTTCCGACCTTCGTTGTTTTTTGGTACTTTCTGTGTTCCAGGACGTTATTGTCCTTTGTGGCCAGTAGGATGCTCTGAAGTATCACCTCATCAGTTCAACTCTAACAAAAGGTCACTGTGGTATTGTGAGCAGACACTTCCAAACCCACACTGACACATTCTTGCCAAATATCCTCTGGTTTCGTTTCCTCGCTGAGATGGAAAGTTTTTGAGAAACTCTTGATGGAAGGTGAAAGGGACAGATTGGCCCTCGGGGATGAGATCTGTTTCTCCAGCTTCCTTCATCCAAACCTGCAACCAAGAGTGACGGAGAGCTGACACTGCAGCGTCTCTGTCTGTCTGTCTATGTCTGCGTCTGCCTGTCATATCACACTGTTGTTCTTTTCTCAACAGGCAGCACTTAAACAGACTTCTGTGTCTGGGAGGGACTGAAAAAGACCATAAATAAAACCTGTTTTGGGGCTGAAATGAGATGTTTGCATGTGCACACACTGGAGTCAAGATCTCTGTTAGCTCACAAGTTAATTTGATTTAAATTGTGTTGAAACAAACACTGCACTGTGGCCTGTGTCCAGAAATAATTCACTATTATTTCACACTGTGTGTATAAGGAATTACATAGTGTGTTGTAGGGCAAAAAAACAAAACAATTTCAGCGTTTAAATTTGCCTTTTCTCTGTCTATGCAATCAGTGTTGGGTCAGATTACTCTAACATTATACAGCAATTATTGTAATTAGAAACATAATCCAGTGGGTTACAAAACAATATAATCTAATCTGAATACTTCTGGATTAAATCAAAATCAAATACTAATATATTGAACTTTCCGTAGTTCTCACTATACAAAAACACAATAAAACAGTAATAATAATATCTATATATCAATAATCTAGTGTGTTAGCCAACTCACACAGTGTTTGCAAGTTGCTGTATGTATAAAATATCCATACTTTTGCAGTATTAATACAATAATTATTAAATTTGTCAACGTGTGTTTTCTTGTGAGTTAGCACTAGCAGGCTAAATGCTAGCAACCAGGCTGATAGGTAAATACAGGAGCAGCAGCTTTGTGATCGTTTCCAGGTCAACACTGGCAATTTATGTGATAAATTATGTTTAGTCTGGAAGATAATTAGAAAGATGATCATAGTAAATAACTTTTCCTTATGTTATATAATACTATAAATTATATTTATGACATAATTTGCATAATAAACAGGAAAGTCAAAGGAAAGAGACGAACATAACTTCTGAGAACCAGAATATGGAAAGTTAGCCTCAGGAATATTATTTTAGAAAAACTGATGAAAGAAATGCTAATTAAGGTTTGAGTTACAGATGCTAACCCGGATGTAGCATCTTTGGCTCTGTGTTTGCTACCCGTTAGCTAACTAACTTGTATAAACAACCACTATTAAAGTAGGAGTATAAACCCACTTGGTTAAATGTCCACCAATAGAAAGCAGCAGTTAAAATGTTGTTTATGAAAACCAGATGTGGATATTTACAGTTTTACGGTGATACGTAACAACAAAGTGGTTGCTCCTTATTAAAATGTCCTGTTATAAGTGACGAGCAACAGTTTGTCTTTGCTAAAAGCACTGTGACGAATTTAAAGTCTGTGTGAGCTGAAGCAGAGGTTGTGAGCAGACACTAAATATAATCCTACATGTGGGCCGCTCAGCTCGTGGAACCGGCTTTTCTTGTGGGTTTCATGTTTGGACAGTCGCCCGGCTTAGTAAAACTCATCCAAGTGTTCGCCATCCAAACACATAGCGCCCTGCCAAAGACGGGCCTCGACAAGACAAACTGAAACACTCAATTAACTGTATTTCAAATATCTTCTCTTGCCAGTGAGAAAGCTGATTTTTCTTCTCTGACACTTTTATTTGCTGTTAAGCTGTTTCAGTCCGAGGGACATCAAAGCTGAGCAGCGTCCTAATCTGTCTCTTTACACTAATGATACAGCAGCGAGGGGGAAACCTCCGGAGGGACGCCGAGTCTCCGGTCTGTCAGCAGCCATCAAATGTTTCTGCAGGACTTCCCTCAGTGTCTCCACTTATCAGACATATGTCACATGAGTGTAACATCTAAAATAAACCGTCAGATAATTACAGTGAAACCAACTGTACAGGACTTACACGTTTCTAAGTAATAACAATAAATTGGAGCATTTGGAGGCAGAGATAAAGCTGTTAAAATTAATAGAATTATTTTCTAATGGCACCTTTAGATATTTCACTTCAATGCTTTCAGTGCCACAATAATGTTTTGGGTCTTTTCCAATCAAAGGTTAGAGGAGATCCTAAGTGGACCTTGAGTTATAACTAAACAGCGTTGGGCAACCACACGCTCCGCCTTTTAAACGCTGTCGGTGGGACTTGAAGACGCGTGGATCACGGAACCAAACTGCGACACTGACACGACGTTATATTGCAATTTCAGTAACACAACCTCCCAGGCGTACAGCTTTTGTTTCCCACCCATTTCTCTCTGAACAGCCCTTTACAGAGCGTGGGGCTCCAGCTCCTGTCAGCAACAGGAGGTTTGAGAGTGAGAGTCCTTCAGTCCTTCTGTTGTCTCTGTTCTTATAAACTTTCTTCGGTGGCCTTTTGAGTCTCCGAGTGGCTGAGAGCCGATCAGCCTGCGGAGAATCTTCGTGTGGTGGAGGAGGTCTGCAGGTGACCTTCCCTTGATGCTGGAGACCCTGTTCACCGGGTGTGTGGGTGACTGCGGTCAGAGCAGCAATCAGCCCACCAACAGAAGATGGAAGTTAGGTAACAAAAAAACCACTGATGCAGATCCACAATCCAAGAAACACTAAGTATTCTTAGATTCTGATGGTGTTGAATATTGTTTGTAGTTTTTATACTACAAAGCTCTTAATTCAACTTGTGTCTAGCATTTGCCAATCACCATGTTTAATCCTTGTGTGAGGGAACCCTGTTTAACTTTCTACCTCTCACATGCTTGAGCTGTATTCAAATGTAATAATCTGCAACTTCACCAGTAGATGCCGCTAAATCCTACACAACAAAATGTTTCAGCTATTTGCTGATCCTCTGACTTCAGTGCCAACATGTCAGTTTGGTTTATGGCCAAAGAATTATGATTTGTCCTTAGAGGAACATTCATATCTGAAGCAAATTTAATGACAATATAAAGATATTTAACTCAAAACGTCGACTCCACAACATGCTTTAATTAATGAGACAAGATTTTATTTGATGTAATTTATTAATCCTGACATTGTGTTCATGTTGGTCTGTTTGAACACACACTGATAGTGGCATTGAAACAGTTCTAATAAAGCATATTGTGGCCTGATTTCAGCACTTTAGAAAAGGTAGAAAGGTCACAGAAGTATAAAGACTCCTTCCCTCTTTGGGGATGTGGATATCAGATTTCAGTGTGCCAAAAATATACAGCTTCAGAGATTTAAACTAATATGTCCTCATTGTTTTGTGCGATAACCTGCAGGCCGTTCCTCTTCATCGCTCCCTTCTCGAGCATTAACCTACAAACCAGAGTGCCTCCGGACTCCGGCCCGCTCCGTCTTTAAACCTCTGATAACGGCTGCGCAGGAGCTTTTGGCATTTTGCTGTGTGTTGTTGTGGGAAGTCGGCCATCTGTCTTCCTGCGTGGCAGGGTTGAGGATGGCCTGGGGGGCTGTGGGCCAGGAGGCGACGCACCAGAGGGGCCCCTCGGGCCTGGCTCAGCCTCCGCGATCCCTGTGTGGCATTTCCATCCGGCGTGAGACCACCTGAGCTGAAGGCGGAGCAGCAGAGGATCGATGGTCCAACGGGTGGATGATGGTGTCTAATCAGGGTCTCATCAGTCTTGTTTTCTCTCCTTAATCACAGTGATTTCCAGTTGTTACGTTATAATTCCTCATCAAACGGGCTGATTTAATTAGAATCCAGCTGAACTTGTGTTTTGTGTCTCGAATTACTTTTGATTGATTTCTCTGATGGATTAAACATGAGGTTATTTTCAACGTCAGAGTGAACAGCGAGCGGAGAGTACCTTCTCCTCAATCAGACCCAGTGAATCATCCTTTATTAAAGGTTTTTAAAACATTAATATATCAGCAAACTGTTCTCTGTCTCACTCCCTCTGCCTGTGTTGTATCGCAGCCTCTCTGTGGTTTGTTTCCATAGCCGGTCTGCTCCGACTGAAACTGCTGTTTTTATCATCTACGTAGCTGAATTACTTTCTTGCAGCCATCTAAACATAGTGACCCAACCGTGTAATTACAGTGTCTGTCATGTGAAGCTGTCACTTTTTATTCGAAGTGCAATGACCTGTTTGAATTGTCAGCAAACTAAGCTCGTAATGTTTTGTTGTTTACTGCTAAACTGGAGGACCACGACCGCCCTGAGGACAATCACAACAGTAAAGCATCTGAGAAGCAGCTGGAGCTTCTGACCCGCTGCCAGAAGCTCATAAAAATGTCATCACCAATAAGAAACTAAGATTTATATGCAAGGATATGTTGGTGTCTTACCCTATAGTACAGTTTTAACATTGTGTTATAAATACATGATGTTAAAACTTACATTGTGAGAGCGACGGCTGTAAAATGGTAGATATATTGTTTTTAAGTCACAAACCGCAGCGAAATGACTCGTTTCACTATCAGAATTTGATCCATTCGTTACGACATTTTGAAAGTCTAGAAGAGCCGCACGATTAAATTTTACATTTTACCCTCATTTAAGTTAGCGTAGGGCTAAACAGGAAGTTAGCCGGCTCAACTGGCAGTCTCGCAGTACGCGTTCAGTAATTACTTTGCATCAGATTCATTCTCATAGGCATCATCATCATCCTGAGCGTCTGTTTCCAGCTGAAACACATGAAAGTCTTCACAATCAAATATTTTTCATACCAGACAGATAAAAGACTTCATGTGATTATATGACTGATACAAACTAGATTATTGCCATAGTAAACTCCATGTTTTACTTGAACTGAAGGGATTCTGGTTCTGATGAGAGTGAATAAATTCCCCGTTGACGTCCCCTCAGAGAGCGAGGGAAAGTCCCTCCCTGACTTTCATAAATCATCTGCTCTTCGACCTCCGGAGGCCGAGCAGTCCGCTGTCCTTCACGGAGAAACATACAGCCCACGCCGCTGCTGCTTCCATGTCAGCACCCGGACATTCGATCCATCACGGCATCATGTGTTGTTACCAATGAGATGAGTGGAAGAGCTTTATTGAGCCTCTGCGGGGACGAGGACACGGCAGGATTGATGTTAGCTGTTCACGATCAATAAGGTGATGTCGTGGACTTAACTTCCAAACCTCAGGAGGGGCATTAACCCGCTGTGGTCGGGGTAATGCTTCTTTAAATTAAGTGGCCCTGTCACTTGCTCTCCTGCTGAAACCAGATGGATACAAATGTGTGACGGCTGCAGAGCGACTCCAAACACGGATGTGGATGTTATGCAAATTTCCTCCGAGGTGCGTTTGTTTTTCCCAAAACACTGAAGTAATTTCTGGCGCCCTCTTGAGTCGTCAGCCTCCGTCTTTCCCGTGGTGATTCTGACACGTGAGCAGCCGAATGAGGCCTGAGAGGCGGCAGTTACGGCTGATCTGGCGGTTCAGGCCTCAACGACCCTCCTGATCTACAAATACACAGAGGAGGAGGAAGATTAAAATATCTGAGTGGAGAAGAGGCTGCTGTTTGTCCTGGTGGGAAATATTCAGCCAGTGCAGCTACCAGCTCGGAAAGACTGGAATCAGATCAAACCGGAGATCATTTTATTGGAAAGGAAGAAGAAAAAAACAATTAGGCGAGGTTGGTGGAAAAAACTGGGTTCCCACGCGTCCTGGAAACCTGGTCGCGTATTTGGTTTGAAACTCAACTGTTAGTAGGATGTGTGTGACACCTGAAACATGGTTCCCACTCTTTTTAAGAAATCCAGGAGTTTTTCTCGAGGAAAAATTTACTCAACACCGAAGAGATTACTGCAGGTTTGTT